ATAATTAGTTTATTTTTTATAAAATTATAGTAAAAATGAACATAATAAAAATAATATATTTAAAAATATATAATAGTGGTTTACCATTAAGTTTTTTCAATGAGTCTGAAATGTTCGAATAATGTTTGTGGGTCGGAATGAAGTTGGTGGAAAGAGGACAATTTAAAAGGAAATAAAATAAATGAAAAATGAACTTTTATTTTCAATAGAAAAACAGATGAAGCCTGTCCAGATGTTCAAAATAATTTTAATAGGCGAGTCAGGCGTTGGGAAAACGTCTCTAATTAATAGGTATGTCGAAAATTCGTTTGACCCTGTGTATAAGTCAACAATTGGATGCGATTTTTTGTGTTTGTTTTCTTTTTGAGTTCCACTTTCAAAATCTTGACCTCTCATTTTCGAGTGGGCAGAATGAACGAATAGAAAAGCCGTGAAAATACTAAGAAAAAGCAAAGAATGTACAGTACGAAGGTGTTGAATATGTTCTACAGATAGTTTGTTTATTAACACCGGTGACGATAAGCAATGTTTAGAGGTGGACTGACAATGAGTGGGATACCGCGGGACATGAAAAATTCTCATCGATGATATCATCATTCTACAGAGGGTCTGACGGCGCGTTTGTTGTCTTTGATGTGACAGACACTGCGTCATTCTCAAATCTGGACTCATGGATTAATGAGTTTTCTGGAAGCATCAATAACGATGTGCCAATTATTGTGTGTGGGAACAAAACCGATTTGGAGAATAGGTGTGTGCCGACTGCTTCTGCACAACAGTGGTGCGATTTACGAAATTACACATACGTTGAGTCCAGTGCAAAATCGTCAGCGGGAGTGACAGACATGTTTGCAACAATCGTGAAGTTAATTGTTGATAATAAAAAGGGCGATGATGTGTCAGAAGACTTAAAACCAATTGCGATCAATGTCAAGCCGAAGAATGATTGCTGTTGAATAATAATAATAGTTAGTTCAATTTCATTCCACCAACAGCCTTAAGAGCACATTCAACCCGAATGTAAAAATAAGTTATTTAAATGCCTAATTCACGGATTGCCTGAAGAACAGCTTTGTGCGCCGATCTGGAACGACCATTTCTCTTCTGATTGTTGTACTGAACCATTGCCAGATACTCTTTTTGGTAACCTGCCATATAAGAGATGACATTGTACTCTATCTGTTTCTCATTGAATGGAATAACACCTTTGGTCCCCTTAAACGCAGACATCACCGTCTTCTCGTCATCTGTCATGTCATCTTCTTCCTGCTTTATGTCAAATTTCATGTTTTTGTAAAAAGCTGAAGTTCCTAAAGCAAATATGAGAATCAAAGAAAGCATTTCTTTATGTCATTTATGAGTTTTATTAATAAAATGATGTTAAAAAAAATTTATAATAATTTATAATTTGTTATACATTACAAATCAAGCCGTTTTTTTGTTTTATAGTTTTAAGTTTTTTATACTAATTTTAATTATAATATATTAAACCAAAAATTTTTAAGTTATTTTATTAGTTGGAATTTAATAATTAAAACTTAAATTTAAAAATTTTTTTCTATTTACCATTTAGTTAATAAAATAATAATATTATTATTTAAAAATAATACTCATATCATTTCAAATTGATAAGTACAAAAAAGGTTAAAAAATAAAAAACTTCAAACAGGGATGGACGAATTTGTCCAAGCAGTTTTGAATTTCACAAGAGGTAGCCCGGAGCAACGCATACTTGCTGAAAAGTATCTTATTTCAAAAGAAAAGTCTCCCCAGTTTTATCCAGTCGCCGTGCAAATTTTACAGTACGTCCCAGAACAACAAAACTTATTGGTCGACAAAAATTTTTTATATTTTTATGCAATAAAGGTAATAGAGACGGTCACACGAGACCAAGCGACATTTAGTCATGAAGCACGGACTGATACAGTTAACTTCCTCCTTTCATGGGCTGAGAAACAACCTCCAGGAATAGCGATGAAAAAGGCCGTTCAAGTTGCTGTAGTCCTTGCCATTTCCAACGAAATGTTTTTTCCCGCCTTTTATCCCCAGACCGTTCTGTCACTTGCCTCTCACAACTCAATCTCAGCCAAAATTTCATCGCTCTTATTCATCAACGAACTCAACTTGAATCTTTTTGATAAAGGACCAAATTCCAATCTCCTCGATCTTTCAGAAAAAGTCGTTTGTTTTTAACTATATATATTACTTTATTTTAATTAGAATAATAGAAATTGCCATAATTATCAATGTTAAATAAAAACAGACAGTGAAGTGATT